CGGCGGGCTCACCCCCTGGCTTTGATTTTTCTGCAAAGAGAGGAGGAAAGCAGCGTTGCCGAAATTAAATACGCTCCCCCAAAATACGGAGAACCGGAGAGTGGGGGCCCAGGAAAGAAACTTTTAAAGCGGCAGTGTCCTTTTAAGAAGGAAAAAAAAAATGTGTTTATTGCCACCCTCCTCCCCCTTTACCTTTTCTCCTCTTGCCAGTTTCGGCCCAGGCTGCCGAGTCGGGAGTGTGTTTTCGGCCTTCAGAGCTCAGGGAAGCGGGAGGAGTGAGCGACCTGGGGAGCCCCGGGGGTGGAGAGGGGGCGCTCCTGGATCTGGGGGCGACGTGGGCACCTTCTCTGGAGCACGGCGGTGCTTGGGTTATGGAGAAAGGTCTGGAGGAAGCGGGGTACGGGCGCGCGTGGTGCTCGCCAAGTTATCTGGCGGGCGCGGCGAGGGGAGATGCGCAAGTTTGCAGCCCCGCGGTTCGCAGCCCGGCGCCCAGGCTGGTGGGGGGCGTGTGCGCGCCAGCGCGCAGAGGGCGGCGGTCCTGTGGGGCGCTCCACGCGCGTTCGGAGTGAGCGTCTACAAAAGCAAACAAGCAGAAAAAGAAAGATCGCAAGCCACCCAAACTTATTTCTGCCCTGGGAATCCTTCCCTCCTTGAGGTTCCAAGCGTTTCTGCGAGAACCTGAGAATGGTCAGTGCAAGTTGAATGCTGGTTGGATAGTGCGAGCGATGTTCCCCCCTTCCCCGAGCGATTTTTACACTCATTTTGCAGTGTGTTGTGAGGGGGAGAACTGGGGTGGTTGGGGGAGCTCCATCGCCCCCTCCTTGCTTTTTCCTAGTTAAAGTGGAGTGTTGGGGAAAGCTACCTCCCTCCCTCTTCTTAAAGGTGTCGGAACCTGGTGTTGGGTTTTTCTTGGGGGTGGGGGATTATTTATTTGAATGAGCCTGGAGTTTGCAAAGAACAGGAGGAAGCTACGGCTTTAATTACTGTTGTAAATAATGAATAAATCACGCCTGTCACTCCGGAGGAACCGCGCTCGCGCGAGCCGCCCAAGGCTGGGGACGGAGAGGATCTCCAATCCCGGCTTGGGCACTGGCCCAGCGCGCCCCCTCCTCTTGCCACCCGGCTTCTGGCGGCGATTGGGGAGGGCTGGGGAGAGGCGAGTGGGGGCTCCGGGAGCCGCTCCCTTCCTCTCGATGTTACAGTTGAAGGTAGGAATATGGCTGATCATGTGCTGGCTGTTTTACAGTATTCCCCCCACCACCACCTTAGCCACACCCCCTGTCCGAGCGCTTTCCCATTCACGGAATTCGAGTACAGTAAAAGCCATCAGGATGACACACGCGAAAAACATTTAATTAAAGGCGATTTCCGAAGAGTGAACACACCGAACCGCGGTTTGAGCGGGAGTGGGGGGACAGCGAGGGCCGGGAGTGAAGGGAGGGGGATAGGGGCTGGGCGCCGGGACCTGCCGCTAGCTCGGTGAGTTTGTGTGTGGCGAGCTTTTGGCTGCAAAGAGTATATTTAGACCCTGAGACGGTGGATTTGGAATGCGAGCGGGTTATGTAACAGGGTTAATCAGAAACACTGGAGAAAATCCCCTTCATGTGTTTCTGAAGCTTTTTTTTTTTTTTTTTGGTAAGAGGGGACATAGTATATGGAAAGCTGTACTAATTTCTGGTTTGTACTGCTATCCCCCTCTTTCTTAACACCCCCTACTCCCCCACCCCCACCGTGTTATTAGCATCTTCAGGTGTCATTCTTGCCAGAAGGTGTTCTTGTAAGAGATTGGGTTGGCAGGCTGCAGAACCCACTAGCAAATCCGTAACTTGCTGTTCTTGCAAATTATATAATGCTGGGCATTCAGAACCACAAGCCCCCTAGGCCTCAGCAAAAAAGGGAGAGGGACAAAGTAGGGGTGGGATGCATCTTGCACAGCTGACCTGCTGACCCATGTCCCCTTGACCCCTGGAGGGCTGCCCCCCACTCACTCTTCTTTGAACCAACCCCTTGTGCATCCCTCTGGAGATTTAATGGGGGAGGGAGAGGAGGTAAGGCCCAGACACTCAACTCACATCCTGCACGCAGGCACTAGGTTACATAACAGTCTGAATGGAAAAAGGAAGGTCAGAGATGGAGGCATCCCTTAGCTAACACAGCAGTAGTAATAGCTTCCAGAAATTATGTGCATTTGCAGACTTCAACCTCAGATGTAGCGTCTGCTCCTCAGGGGTACCAATCTTTGTGTGTGTGAGCTAGGGAGAAAAAGAGAATGTGCAAGTATGCCTGGTAGATGAGAGTGATTTGAAAATGGGAAATGTTTGGGTTTTCAGATGATGTAATGGAGTTGGCAGAATATGCAAGTCGGCTCCCAGAGTGTAAGCAGCAAGAAAATTGGAGCTGGCATCCAGTATTAATGTTGCATAAATTACAATATCGGAAAGAAATTAACCTACACACTAGGTGATTACACCTTTTTAATACTTAAAACATAAAGGCACACAACTCAAAAGGAAAAGCAAATATCATCACCTTATAATTAGCATTTTCAAGCTCCAGGGGGGTTGAGTGGAGAGTCCTTGGCATTGGGTGAAGTGGGAAGCTTTCTGATTTGGGAGATGCTTTCCAGAGAGGTAGCAGGGTTCTCTTCCAGCCAGCCAGTGTTTGCAGTCCACAGAGATTGTGGTCTGGATTCTCGTGACATTGAGGTGACCTCATGAGACATTGCTCAGGTAGACTTGAAGCTGTTGCTGAATTCTGAACTCCTGGGAATCCACGTGTGAATGGACTGTGTCCATTTAGTGCCTGGCTTGCAAAATCAAATGTGTGACTTTTTAATCTGAAAGACGACCTCCCCCTCTCTCTAAAACTGGGCAGGGAATGTTAGCACTTTTAATGAAACTGTTCCATTTTCTAGGTGGTATTAACGATGGCTGGTGTCATTCAGTCTCATCTTGACAGCACAATGAAAGGGAAAAAAAGGCAAGAGGCAACATGGGAAGTAAGAATGAAGCGGAGAAAAGCCACAGCGAATCTTTAATTTAACAAGGCTTTTGGGGACTTCAGGGAGCCATGAGCATTGTGACATAACTGTTGTTAAAAACCCTTTTCCAGAATCTCGTTATAATATGCATGCCAGAAGCTTACATATTTTACTTCACTGAAGTTATCCTCACAGGGCTGCGTGCCACGCAGTTCGTTTGGAACACCAGTGCGGAAGGTTGAAGGCTTTTAGGGCAGGCCGACCTAAGGGAAAAATCGAAACCAAAAGATGGGATTAACGCTGAAAAGCTCGGTTGGGTTGAGATTGAACCCCTTGGAAGCTCAATTTAGATTGACTTAAAATCAGTTAACAAGGCCTGTGGTTTATTTGTAGCCCTGAGGACTGCTAGAACCACATATTCTTTGACTTTCAAAGTGCTTCGCCTCCACTCCCCCCTTCGGTCTTGGCTGATTTCATTTTCTGGTAGGTGCTCTTGCTTGGCAGTGTAGAGCCCTTTCTAGAGACTGATTCTCAGATCAACTTTTCTTACATGGACCTGGCTCTTTACACTGAACAAATGATGCCCCATAGTTTGAAAGAGCTACTGGCTAGGATAAAATCCTTTGCCAGAGGGATGGAATAATTATTTCTCAAACTAAGGGACTTTAATTTTCTGGTAAATTGCTCATAAAAACATTTATAATTATACCCTTTAAAAATGCAATAGAATAATTTTAGAAAATGCATTTGTTAATAGTTATGATAACCTTTTCTGTTGCTTCCCCCTTATTTCTTAAAAAGAACTGAATTATTAATCCAGAAGTCGAATCCTGAGTGGCTAAAAACGTTTATAGCAGACTCTTATTTATGTTAGTCACCTGCTGGAGTTTTCCAAAACTTACTGGAGTTATGAGGAGCCCTGCGCTTTAGAAAATGTCTGTATTTCTGAAACTGAAATTGGGAGCCAGCGTGGAAGCCCCCTAACCATGAGACCCACCCGTGAGCTTGTGTTCTCAAGGCAGCAGAGGTGGGGCTACAGCACACACTGCTGGTTCCACTCCAGACTCCTACGGGGGGTGCAGGGGGTGCAAGAATGTTCATTGCAATAGTTGTGCCTGTGGATGAAAATGTTCTGAGGATTTTCAGTGACAGTTTTTGGAAGCAAACTGACTCCTGTCTGGAGCTGACCTTTGGAATGCCAGTGAGACAAGCCCACGGAGTCTTTGCCTTGGGCCACACTCTTGTCAATTCTGAGTTAAGATGCACGTTTTTCTGCAGATTCTCCCATCTTGCCGTTAGGACATTGTGGCGTGATGTTGGAAGGACAGACTGAGTTGGACGTCACTGGAAATTTTGTTCATGCGGCATGGTCTCTTACTGCACATGCCACTTCTTCTGTGTGTGCCCTTCCTTTCTCCCTCCATCTTCCTAGTCTACTTGATGAACTGTGCTTCTTAGCTCATAGACACAGTACTTCTGTGTCTGTAGAAGCAAAATAAATACATAACAGCATTTCGGGTGTCTGGGGAAAGAGTTGTAGTGTGACTGCCCCATGTGCAAAAAAAAAGTATAGAAAATGCAGCTCTCCTCCCATGACATATCTTGCTGCTCACCTTCTTTGTCTTCCGTGAGACAATGTGCAGGGACTTGCAGGCAGACATCATCTGCTCCCTTGAGGAGATTCCTGACCCATTCATCCCAGATTAGTGATGGATTCTTCCAGGGCAAGAAGAGTCTGCTTTGAAAGGCCTTGAGGTACTGGAGTGAACACTAACCTAGAATGTGGGGTACCTTTCTCAATACGAGGCTTCCTTGCTCAGAATTGAGGAACAGTCTCTCCCTCCCCCTCTCTCTCTCTCTCCCTCCCTCCCCCTCTCTCTCTCTCCC